AAAATTTCATGTTAATCGGTCCATAACTCTCAAAATGACCACATTTTTTTTACAAAATCTGCTCTCCTGTAAAATTGCGATTTTGTAGATGTCCGTTTTAACTTTGCTGCCATCGATATGCCTCCCACCTTTAAAAGTGCTTCCCGTCGCCGGGAACTGGAAACTAATAAAAACTGTATGGTTACAATGCCATCTATCGGTTCGTAATGCCTAAAGCAATTGCGGACATCTACATTCTACCCCACCCAGCCTTAATTAAGGCTGGGTGTTCCTGTTTTTGTCCGTTTTAAAATTGGTTTTTGATAGCCAAATTATTATATTTAGAATCTGAAAAAAATTATTTTAGATACATTCTTACTCCATACGATGTACCCGGTCGATACACAATACAATACAATTTTCTCGATAGAAAAATTACCGAACTAAGTTTGATTTGCAGTTCTTTTTACAAGCCAAATTTAATTTTAAACAAGTACTAATTACTCCTTTTTTTCTATAAAGATATCAATATATAGGTAATTCAACTTGGAATCGATTCTACCAGATCGGTTTTTTTTTTCATTACATTTATTAAAAAATTATCGATTATTCAAGTGTGATTTTCGATCTGCGCGTCGCTTGCCCGTTGCCACTTGCCAGTGTCCCACAGAGTACTTTGAACAATAGTGTTCATTAAACATTGATTGTTGAAGTATTCGATAGTAATCGATTGTTTCTTATAAGAACATCGATATATCGATAAACTATCGATTGTCTTTGAGCAGTTATCACAAATAAAAATAACAATAAGTAATTATTGTACTTTTTTGTTTGCTCGTCTTTGAGTAATACGCAATTTGTCACTGGCTAGTGTAGAACTGTGAAGGAAAGTCACAATCGCCTTTGTCTTCAGCAACTGATTTCTATTAAAATAATTCTTAAAAGAACTTCTACATTTTCTTGGTCGCACTTCATCTTGAACTTGATGTTCAGACGATGATTCCTCTTCCGATTCTAACCTATCTATTTTATCGGCATGCTTTCTTTTCAAGTGATCTCTTAGATTGTTCGTATTTCCAAAATGCTTGTATTCCTGATTATAAGTTACATTTTATAACGGACTATTACTGTCCACTAGACATGCGCGCCGAGCAAGAATTCGGCGGCGGCGGCGCGCCGACCCATTGTGGTCGGCGTGGCGACGCCGCGCCGGCGCGGCCGTATTTTATTTTAATTTTTATAAACATTTATTTAAAATAAGGTAGTAGTTAAGTGAAACATAGACCTGGATAGGAATTCAAATTTAATTTCTCAAAATAAAAACAAACCAAACAAGTTCTAATTAATTATACCTTATAATTTGTGCAAAAACGAAAAAGCACATTTTTTTGTTTCTTGCACAAACTATAGGAAATTAAAATTGTGTTTTTTACACAATGTATAATTATCATGAATAAAAATAATTTTATTAACGTGTACTGGGCTTAGTCTAGATCTTTTAGCAGTCACAGTTAGTCCCACTATAGAAAAAACGCGCTCACTAGGCGTCCTAGTAGCAAATGTTCTGATCACAGAGTAGTTTTTATATACGAGGGTGGATTGAAAAGTACTCGGCCTAACACAGATCCATTCAATTCTAAAAATCAAATCTACCCACATTATTTAGTTCAGTTCAGACTAGTTCATTGTGTGAAGTTCGAAACGTGTGCGATAATTAGTTGTGATTTTATAAATTTATTAACAAAGTAATCGGACATAATTTCCGCGAATGGAGCAAATCGAGCAGCGTGCCGTCATTAAGTACCTCCATAAGAAGGGGCTATCATCAAAAGCCATCCATGATGACATGGTCAGTACATTAGGCGATTGTGCTCTGTCATATTCATCCGTCAAAAAATGGATAGCAGAATTTAAGCGTGGTAGAGAGAGTGTGAAAGATGAACCCCGCTCTGGAAGGCCTTCGACGTCAACTACTGACGAAAATATTAAAAAAGTACTTGATTTAATAATGGGAGACCGCAGATTAAAAATTAGAGAGATAGCCGAGATTATAGGCATCTCTTATGAACGAACTCAAAACATCATTGTCAAGGAGTTGGGTTTCCACAAGGTGTCTGCGAGGTGGGTTCCGCGACTGCTTTCAGTTGAACAAAAAAGGACGCGATTGACTATTTCACGCGACTGTTTGGAGTTATTTGAAGCCGATGCAGATGATTTTTTGAATACACCGGAAACAAAACAACAATCAAAACAGTGGAGAAGACCTGGTTCACCACCCCCTAAAAAGGCTAAGTCGATTTTGTTGGCAAATAAGGTGATGGCTTCAGTATTCTGGGACTCGAAAGGTGTGATTATGATTGATTATCTTGAAAGGGGTCAGAATATAAACTCTGATTACTACTGCACCTTACTACGTCGTTTACGAGAGGAAATAAAAGAAAAACGTCGAGGAATTCTCAGAAGAAAAGTCCTGTTTCATCAAGATAACGCCCGTGTTCACACGTCAGTACAGTCAATGGCTGAAATTCACAACTGTGGCTTTGAACTGTTACCGCATCCGCCGTATTCACCTGATCTGGCACCATCAGACTTCTTTCTGTTCCCTAACCTAAAAAAGCACTTGGGAGGTCAAAGATTTTCGACAAACGACGAGGTCAAAGCAGCTGTAGACGCATATTTTGACTCTAAGGAAGAATCATTTTTTTTCAACGGTCTAAATGCTTGGAAGGGGAGGTGGCAAAAGTGTATTGAACTTGATGGTGATTATGTAGAATAATAAAAATATAACTGATTTAGTATTTGTTTATTTTCTTGGTTAGGCCGAGTACTTTTCAATCCACCCTCGTACATACTGAAAGTTCTGATACGCGCTCCAGAGACTGTAAAAATTTAATTTGTTCTATTTCCGCCGCTCGCTTCAATTCCGGTAAGCGATACCGAACGATTTTTACGATCTTTTTACATTTTTTTATTGATTTTTGAATTCTTAAATAATTGCATGGTTTTATTGACCCCGCGCCCGCGCGCCCGTCCCGCGTTGGTTCACGGCGCGCCGATCGGATTTGTCGGCGCGGCGCGGCGTGGGCAGGGCGCGGCGTGGCGCGGCGGCGCCGGCGCGGCGCGCATGTCTACTGTCCACTATCTAGAAATAACTCCACGTTAATGATTGATTTTTAGGATAAATTTTCGATTAATTATGAAGTCAAATACAAAAAAAAACCAGTAATCTATAAAACGCAAGATCAACCGCCCGTTCTGGCACTCACACAAATAGCGACAAGCTTACGTCAGCGTTACACATATTAATTAGTTTATTTAAAGGGATATCTCTGACTAAAGGGAGACATCTACTATAGACAAAAATTACGATAAGGATGGCAATCGATAGTTTAACCAGACTATCAATAGAATCGATAGTGCAAACACTATCGATTAATCGATAGTCTATCGATGTTTAAGAACACTACCCTGCAGTGTCCCGTGGGATGTTACCGAGGTAAGACCTGCGCCAAATTTTTGGGCGCGCACTTCTCTTCTTCTACGTAAATAATATTTAGAAAATAAAATAAATTATAAATAACTATAGTTTTCTGGAACTTAAATAGACTATAGTTAAGCTGTTGTTGGTGTTTATTTCTCATTGTGTAAATATTTGTTTATAACATTAAAAAAATATTTTTGTGATTATTTTGTAAAAATCACGATCATATCTTTGCGATGACCGCTTGTAAATACCTAATGCGCTTGAAACACCCAGCCTTAAGTGAAATAATTTGCTAGCAACTGTCTTTTCATCGGATTACTTAGAAGGTTGTTGTCGTCAAGGCAAGAGTGAATAGGCTAATTCCGTGCACTTTACCATCTTCGGCCTCATTACCACTTACCATCAGGTGGGATAGTAGTCAAGCGAGACAGTCTCGTCAGTCTAGTCGTCGTAAGTGCGACTGTTGGTCATGTTGGTCTGGCCAAAATCAGTTTTTTGATTTTTCTGTCAAGAAATTCTGAATAGCAATTTGGAATCAGGAAGTTATCAGGCTCATTCCCGTGCCTCGTAAAGCATGTAAACCCTTTGGTCCTACGCCTGATCTCTCCGGTCGCGTCGGCTTTCCATCCCATCGGACTATAAGGATGAGCGTATAGTGTTCGGTTTTCGCACACTCGCTATAATTCTGTTTTGCACAGTTGAGACTGCTCGCCATTACCGAAACTCGTTCTGGAGAACATTAGTGTAAAAAAATGTCACTCCAGCGGAATGACTCCCAACCTTTAATTATATTGGACTCTTAAACGTCAGAGCGGAACACAGCAGTGCACGCACTACTGCTTGGTAGCAGAGATAAGTAAGAAACTATATCGTCGTAACTATAATATCGACTATGGCGTGGTTGCGGAGCAGGAAGAATTTCAAATTATTACAGTTCATACAAATATGAACTTTAATAACTTGAGAATAGACTCTCTTTTCAAATCACAAATACTGTTCAAGAGGTCTTAGTTGCAATAGAAATAACTTTTTTTATGATGGGAATTATCTCATCGGTGTCGCTCTAGCGGCATAAATTATAATTTATACCTACTCCTTTTTCAAATAAATTATTATAATTTATAATATAATAAATACATAGGACAGAACTACCATTAATGGCGGACGTGAAGAAAAATGTGACGAGAGAATGAGGGCGATGTAGGAGTAATCAAATAGACAATTTTTTTTTCGTTTAAAAATTTCCGTGTGAGCCCCTTATTAACCTCGGGCCCCTAGGAACGTGCCCAGTTTGCTTTAAGGATAATTCGTCACTGCCCAGACGGCAGAAAAATAGCTTTATCACCAACTAGTTACTTTCGGCGTTTTCTTTCTTTTTCTATACAGTAGCTAAACTGTATAGAAAAAAAAAATCTAAAATAGAAACACGATACACTAAGATAAACCTCCTTACAGCGAATCTTCGTTAGCCAAACATGAATGATAAATTTTAAATATTTTTAATTTACAGGAATTTAGCAAATAATTAAAACGAAATCATAATAACATTTTATTATTTACTACCAACGTTTTGTTAGAGTACATTTGTACTCCTGAATTTACACATTTTAAAAGTAGCACCTAAACAAATTTCTTACAATAATAAATAAAAATGAAATATATTTTAATAAATTTAATAAACTCTTCGAAACGTAGAAATAAGGAATGATAAATTTGGAATAAATGCCTTTCTGTTGTACTATTTCGTAACTTATTTTGTATAATAAATGCATTAAAATCTAGCTAATTCTATACCTCAACCCCATGGATTACTAAATGGGACCAGGACTGTGAGCGTTTCCCAAAGAAAGTCTCAATTGCCCTCATTTGTGCTTCTTGATGCTGACCGGGAGGAAGTTTACTCTTATGTTGATGGGACTAAAAACTAAAAGCTCTCCCGGTTGGGATAATATTCCAACCAGTTTCCTAAAACTTGCTAGAAATGAAGTTGTACCAATCATCACAAATTTATCCAAAATGTTTTAATAAGGGAGTATTTCCAAAACTCCTTAAAGAATCAATCATAACTCCAGTGTACAAGAATGGGGATGGAGAAGATGTTAATAATTATAGACCTATCTCTGTACTGCCAGCAATATCCAAAATTATTGAAAAAGTTATCAACAAAAGACTTCTGTGTTACCTCAATGATTTTAACATCCTGTCTGAATCACAATATGGTTTCCGTAGTGGAAAAAATACAGAAGATGCGGTGACTGCATTAACTTCTCAAATTGTTGATAAACTGGATAGTGAAAGAGTGACAAAGCAAATTTATGTTGCGGAAGTGAACGGCAGGGTCGGGAAGGGACGCCCTAGACGAAGGTTTATCGACCAAATCGGCGATACATTAAAAATGGGCCAGATTAGAGAGTACCCATAACCGACGAGCGTGTATGCGTAGATATATGGATGTAAAAGAGGCGAGAGAGGTGTGTCAGAATCGCGCCAAATGGAAGTCCGTAGTCTCTGCCTACCCCTCTGGGTGACAGGCGTGAGTGTTTATGTATATATGTTATGTAAACTGGATAGTAAAGCTAAATGTCTGGCAGTATTTTTGGATTTGAAAAAAGCATTTGACACTGTCTCTATCCCCATCCTTGTACAGAAAATGGAAGATGTGGGGATTATTTAGCAGTTTTATATATGTTAGACATAAATTATTAAATATGGTAAAGTCAAAAAATTAATACTCTAAAAATAAATTTCTTACAATTTAACTCACTGGTTAACACTTTGGTATTTTTTTGGAATATTATTACTTTGGTTTAAGTTTAACACATGACTATTTTTATCACTTAAATAAAAAAAAAAACATTAAATATATAATTATGGCAACTCCGTAGGAACGTTTTGAAATTTTCAATATGGATTTTACCAAAATAATGGTAACTTATACCACACTGGTTTGGTGACGTCGTTTTGAAGCTTTTAAATAATAGTTAATGATGCCTCATCAAAAATGTAAAATTATTAATCTAAAGGTTTTGCAAAGTGAACGTTTTAATTTGATATATTAAAATAAGTAGAGTATATATTATTTAAGATTATGAATTAATTTTAAGAAATTCTTCTATGAATTAATTCACGTCTTGGATGTAATCCAGAGACGCGTCGACCTGAGTTTATCACATTTAGACATATTGGTTGATTATTTATATAAATGATATTTCGTTTATTATCGTACATGAGACTCTGCAAAACCTAAAAAAATTGTATTTACGTTTTAATTTCTTTATTTAGCTGCATTTAAACCCGTCAGGGTTATTACTCTGCCATCTCCACGTGTCCGCGCACATATCCTCTAACGTCTTTATCGCACGCCAACCCAACAACCTGTGTGAGAGGGAGACGTCTGCATAGTTCGCAGCTATGTCTCCATCGCGTCTGCCAACGATCTTGTATGGGATTTGACGACCGCACGCCACTTCGAATGCCTTCACCATTTGCAGAACGGAGTAACCTGTGCCCGTACCTGAAAAACATTTAATTTGTAGCAAAAAGTAAGTCTATCAGTGTAATGAGACTTTAGTAAGTGTTTGTCTGCTAAGTGTTTGACTGACGCCTCTGTGGCTCGCAGTGACTTAGCATTGAGTTGCCTGACGGCCGCGTGTTTGAATCCCGCACGGAACAAGTATTTATATGTTTGTTATTTATAAGTTTTTTGAATAGGGAAGAGCAGCCACCTTGCCCCAGTGAGATTAGTGGATAAGCGTTGAACTTCTCAGAATTTTAATAGAAGGATTTTCTTCAGGTGGTTTTCCTTCGAATCTTCAAATGAAGAAGAAGAGATGTCATTGTGGGAAATCCCAAAGAGATCATCTTGGCTTCTGATAGTTGTTGGTATAATTTTATTTTACCGGAGAGGGGACAAACGAGCATGCGGCTCACCTGATGGTAAGTGACTACTACCGCCCAGGAACAAATGCAACACTAAGGGAAGCGCAGATGCGTTGCCGGCCTTTTAAAAAGGAGTAGGCTCTTTTCTTGAAGGTCCCTAAGTCGTATCGATCCGGAAAAATCGCTGATCGTAATCGATTCCACAAGGAAGTTGTGCGAGGAAGAAAACTTCTTCTAAATCGCACAGTGGTGGACCGCCTATCATCCAGATGATATGGATGGAATCCCGAGTTTTGTCGCGACGTGCAATGGTGAAATTGAGCGGCTGGAATTTGTCCGAACAATTCTTTAGAGCACTCCCCGTGATAGATGCGATAAAATACGCAAAGAGATGGAACATCTCTACGCAGTACCAGTGAGTCAAGCTAATCGGAAAGAACTCGGTCGTCGACGATTCGAGTCGCTCTGCGCTGGACGCGGTCAAGTGGAAGGAGCTGGCACTGGGGAGCCCCTGCCCAGAGATGGGAACAGTATTCCATATGAGGCCGAACCTGCGCCTTGTAAAGTTACAGGCGGTAATTATCGTGAGTACGGAAGAGGTTACGTCTAACACTGCGATTGCCCAATCGTTTGCCACATGTGGCAGTTGCGGCAAACCGTTGAGTAGAGCCATGTTGCAGTTATATTAGTAGTATAATAGCACGAATGGGTCGGCTCGGTCGGTAAAATAGCAGCACAACGCTGCTGTGTTTCGTATGATGAGTGTAGAGAATCGGAGACCCTTTTTACTGGCAAAGAGGCATTCCATCTTAGTCCTCACGGCTGACAACACATCTGCATTTTGATTCACAAACTAGGATAGATGTAGATGTCTATGTACCACAGCATCTACTTACCATCAGGTGGACTATGTGCTCGTTTGACACCCTTATTCTACAAAAAAAAACATGTTCTTTCTTGCCCAAAAGAAACTTACCCAAATTGACCGCATGGAAACCACTAAAGCCGGGCTGGTGGAACAATTTTATGGCCTTAACGTGACCCTCGGCCAGGTCTTCCACGTGGATGTAGTCCCGAACCCCGGTACCGTCTGCTGTCGGGTAGTCATTGCCGAAAACTAGAAGCTCCTTAAGGCGTCCTACGGCAACCTAGCGAAAAATGAGTTAAGTTATATTTTATATAAATCCTTAGAGTATCTGACTTCCGAGTTACGACTCCTGCGCTTGAATCCAAGTTAGAACCAACATTTGCGTAAACATGCAATTGGTGGTCCATACGTCTCAGTACACCATAATCGGTAGCGAAGCCTCCATAGAAGCCGAGAAGTCGGGCTTGCCCTATCAAACTGCTCAATCAATAATATCAACTAATAAAATAACTCGTAAACTGTTTCAAACTATTTCAAATTTCCCGCGCGTTCCTCTGTTCTACACAGTTCATTAATCGTCACGGCAAAACTGCGCGATACTGCTGTCATAAAAAGAAGTTCAGTTGAGGCTCTCTCGCACGCGTGGGCTTTTTGCCGGGCTTTCGAGAAGACGATCGCTCCCTTTCTAACTTGTGGCAAAATGTTCTATAATGAAATATAACTACGATTGTTTATATAGCAATCAGTATGGAGCCAAAAGCCCGGCTTTTGTTGTGAAGTTAGTCGAGCGCGGGGGCGACCGGGCGATACGTTTACAACTTCACTTCACATATCAATGTTTACTCTGTGTGTTTACTTGAGCGAATTAATATTGCGAGTTGAAAATTTATGATTTTTTAAAGATTTTTAGTGAAAATGGAGGATAATAGTGTTCCTTGTGACGAGTTGAAGTGTGTTAAAGTGCTAATCGGCGAGGAAAAGGTAAAATCTTTAAACTTTGTTTAGAAAAAACAGCTCATATCCACATAAACAGTTATTGGTACAATTAAAACGTTCAACAACATTTTACGCGTACGTAATCAAATCTTTGTTTAAGAAAGAGAGACGATTCGATTTAGGATATAAATAATTTTTTTTTTTTAATTTTGTAGATAGTTTGTACTTTGTTCATGCTTTTCTTATGTTCATGTATTGTATGTAAATATCTTTTTCTTTCGCTCAAGCAAACCCAAACAGCTTTTTTCAAAGCCACCGAAGGTATGCAATTGCTAATATGTCATACAAGCTATCGAGCAGTAGTATGCCTTCTGAGTGCTTTTTTAAACACGTCCTCGATAGCACTGAATATGAAACTGAAGAGTGATGACAGATCAAGATTGGTGTATTTTTATAAAACTGCTAAAACAACAAAACCATATCTTGGGCTTGACCTAGTTTGGAGCCCTAGCTTCGCCACTGACCATAGTAAAAATACAGTTTAAAAAATCTTTGTAGCGTGCTCTAATATATGAAATAATTATATTTGTACCATACTTTTTTAAACTCTGAAGTGTAACAATAGATAATAGAGGCAGTTAGCCGCTCTGCCCATAACTAGTATGGATAGAAAAATAGGAATGTTTATTTTTGACATATATATGCCACGTATTAAATTGCATCCATAGAGTACATTTGTGGCAACTACTATAACATAGTTAGTGCTTTCAGTGGTTGATTTACCCGGCAGGACTTTTTTCCGCCTAGGATATCGTCTGAGTAGGTACCACTTTCTTACCTAAGGGTCGGGGAAAAAGTTTCTTCATATTTTATATTCAAATTCAAGACATTTGTTTTCAAAGTTTAATTACATTTAATTATAATATATACGTGTCATTTTGTTCGATAACTTGTTACGAGTAGCGTAAGTAGTACACGAAAGTCTAGCGGTGACCGTTATTGCGCATAATTCGCGCTGATTGGCTCGTGCGTATCGTTTGCACGCGCTGATTGGCTGTTCAGTCGCATTCGTGCAATTCAATTCGTGCGCGTTTTCTCCACGTTTCGTTCAGCGCTAGACTTACGTGCCGCGACCTATACCATCTAGTCGGTAGTCACATAATCTCGTTGCTGTAAAAGTTTTGGGATATTTTATGAAAAAACAAAGCGACAAATGCGAGTAGTTTTGACAGTCCTCTTTTGATGTCAACCTAACACTGCGCAAAGAATTCTGAAGAGACCGAAACAGGTGAAAATCTGAGGTTGCAAGTTCAGGACTATATGGTGGATGCATTAACACTTCCACCAAGCTCTCTCAATTTTAGCTGAGTGGCCGAAGATGTGTGTGGTCTGGCGTTATCATGATGAAAGACCATTCCTTTTCTGTTGATCCAGATGATTCCAGCCGTTTTTCTTGCTTGAGTCTCAAGCAAGAAAAACGGTTGTTTTCAGTAGAGATCCGAATCGATGGTTTTGCCCGGCGGTAAAAGCTTGTAATAAACGATGCCCTTCCAATCCCACCATACACACAGCAACACCTTATTGCGTATTAATCCGGGTTTCGCTATAGTCTGTGGAGCTTGATCACCCTTTGCCCATGATCTTTTTCGCACGTTCTTGTCGAAGGTAATCCACTTTTCATCACCAGTGATCAATCTTCAAAAATGGTTCGGTTTCATTGCGTTTCAATAGAGAATCGCAAATGAGTTCACGGTTCATTACTTTTTTCCACTTACTTCGTCTGGTACCCAAATAAGGTGCTTTCTTATATTGCCAGACTTTTTCAAATGGATCAAAACTGTTTTGTGGTCAATCCTCAATTTCTCAGCTATGTCGTAACCATTAATATGCCGATCTTGCTGCACTTTTTCAAAAATGGCATTGAATTTATCCGTATGAGCTCCATCTTTGACTTGAATATTCCCGGACTGAAAACGCTTGAACCAACTTTGTGCTACTCTTACTGACACTGCAGAAACTTCAAGCTGCGTACGGATAGCGCGTTCCTGTGTTACGCGTAGTGGGGAAACACTGTCCACGCGTACATTGGATACGCGTACAGCTCCTGTACGGACCGCCGCGAACCTGTACGCGAGGTCAATCGATCCAGAGCGCTCCGCGAGCCCCAGTCATTCGCCATGACTCCGACAAACTTAGCGGTTGCGTGCACCACCACTGCTGCGGCGTTAGTCATTATTCAACACATTTTAAATAAAAAAAAGAGAAACAAACGGAAACCTAGATGGTGGATGAAAAAATTGTATCGTGAAAGATTACAGTGTGGAAATAGGCTAATGGAAGAGATGCCTTCCATGCATCTTGGCGTAAATCGTTATTTCGATAATCAGTTAGTGTGCTATCCCACAAGACTCGGTGAAATTCATAAAGTTGAATCAATCTGATAATATTTTCATTATTGAAACTCGAAGAACACGCGTGTTTATTCATTTTGCCGTCCAAATATAGCGTAGCCGGCCGCGTGCGTCCTCTTTGACGCGCGACCAAAAACCGACTGACGATGGCTCGCGCTGCGAGTTGGCTCGCGCGGTACGCATACCCTAAGAGTGAACGCGTAGCTGCAGGTATGGACTAGGCGTTCCGAATAGCGTAAACTGAGTACGCGTACCAGGGTACGCGCAATCCGTACGCACCTTCACAAATTTTATTCGCGGCTTGAGTCGCATTTTTTCACTTTTTTGTAATAAAACTTCAGAATGCATCGAATTTCTTCGTTAGATCACTCATTTTGGCTGTCCGCCAAAATTTTTGGCTGTCCGCCAAAATGAGTGATCTAACGAAAGGCAATTTAAAAATGGAGAGAAAGTGTTTTTTTTTTAATTGATATTAAAACCAGCCAGATACTTGCAAACAGTACAATCAAAGATATTTTGTTTCAATTCTATGCTAACAAAATACGAAGAAACTTTGTCCGCCTACCTATTATTTCTGCCGCCAAATAGTAGTGCTTGCACCTGCTGTGTCCCGGTCTCATCATCATCATTACAGCCCTTCACAAGTCCACTGCTGAACATAGGCCTCCCCCAAAGAATGCCACAAAGCACGGTCCTGAGCCACCTGCATCCATCGACTTCCTGCATATCTTACCAGGTCGTCACTCCATCTAGTGGGGGGACGCCCTATACTTCGCCTGCCGGTACGAGGCTGCCACTCGAGAACCTTTCTTCCCCATCGGTTGTCGGTTCTTCGAGCTATATAGCCGGCCCATTGCCACTTCAGCTTACTAATCCGTTGGGCTATGTCGGTCACTCTGGTTCTACTGCGGATATGCTCATTTCTGAGTTTATCACGCAGAGAAACTCCGAGCATAGCCCTCTCCATAGCTCGCTGAGCGACCTTGAGCTTCCTCATCCGGCCAGCAGTGAAGGACCACGTCTCAGTTCCGTATGTCATCACTGGCAACACGCACTGGGTGTACAGTCTCGTTTTCAAGGTTTGAGGTATACCTGACGAGAAGATGTGCCGTAATTTCCCGAACGCTGCCCAACCGAGTTTAATCCGTCGATTGACCTCTCGGTCGAAGTTGGACTTACCTAGTCGGACTATTTGTCCCAGGTAAACATACTCGTCAACAACTTCGAGCTTAGTGCTCCCAACAACTACCGGCATAGGTGTGACATGGACATTGACATGATCTTTGTTTTGTCCATGTTCATCTTAAGACCTATCCTTTGGGAAACACTATTGAGGTCATTGAGCATAGTGCTTAGGTCCTCCAGCGATTCTGCCATAAGGACTATATCGTCGGCAAATCGAAGGTGAGTGATGTACTCGCCATTGATGTTGATACCGTATCCTTTCCAGTCCAGAAGCTTGAAAACATCTTCCAATGCAGCGGTAAAGAGTTTCGGGGATATGACGTCACCCTGTCTCACACCTCTCTGCAATTGGATAGGTTTCGTACTCTGGTTCTGTACTCGGATAGCCATCGTAGCCCTACTGTACAAGCACTTCAACACTTCGATATACCGACAGTCAACTTAGCATCGCTGAAGGGACTGCAGCACCGCCCAAATTTCGACGGAATCAAAGGCTTTCTCATAGTCCACATACGCCAGACATAGTGGCAAATTGTACTCCTCGGACTTCTGTACAATTTGCCGAAGGGTATGTATGTGGTCTATGGTGCTAAAGCCTTTTCGGAAACCGGCTTGTTCGGGAGGCTGGAAGTCGTCAAGTCTGCGCGCGAGACGATTCGTAATGACTCTCGAAAACAGCACGTAGACGCGGCTCAGAAGGGAAATCGGTCTGTAGTTCTTCAAGAGAGCGTTGTCGCCTTTCTTGAAGAACAAGACCACCGCACTTCTGCTCCACGCCTCCGGTGTAATGCCACCATGGAGGACGGAATTAAAGAGCTTCTGAAGGACTTCAAGTACCGGTTTTCCACCCGCTTTCAGAAGCTCCGCTGTAATTCCATCCTGGCCTGGGGCCTTACCGTTTTTAAGGTGCTGGAGAGCCATTCTAATCTCGCTCAGACTGACGTCCGGGATATCTTCGGAATAGTGTCGGATAAGACTCGCTCTTGGATCGTTACTCACACTTGCGTGTGGCTCCAACGATGACGTGTACAGCTGCCCATAGAACCTCTCAATCTCACTCAAAATCTCAGGTGTCCCGGAAACGATGCTGCCACATTCGGTCTTCAGCTTTGACAGTTGGCTCTTTCTGGCAGACAGATCTCTGGCAAAGACTTTGGAGCCTTGGTTCCGCTCGATCGCTTCTTCAATACGAGCTGTATTGAAGTTGCGTAAGTCCCGCCGCATGCATTTGGAGATCTGCCTGTTCAGATGCCTGTATGCTGTCAAGTCTGTTGAAGAATGTAGCTTCATCTCCCGTCTAACAGCCATGAGATTAAGAGTGTGATCGGAGAGTTTTTGTGTTCTTCTGCGGCGGGTCTTGCAGAACTTAGCTCCGACCGCATGGACAGTTTCCACGAGCTTGTCATTTATATCGTCCACTTCATTGCAGTCTTCTAGGCACTGAAAACGGTTTTGCAACTCGAGCTGAAAGGTTTCGGGACTTTGGATTAGAGCACGAGGGGGACGGAGCGTTGACTTCATTAGACGAGACCTCTCCAACTTAACGTTTAGGTTCAGTGTGCCTCTAACCATTCGGTGATCGCTGCTGGTTTTCACCCTCGCGATCACTGAGACATCACTGAACAGTTGTCGTCTGGTCGTCATAATGAAGTCAATCTCATTTTTTGTCGAACCGTCGGGGCTCGACCAGGTCCACTTCCTGTGGGACCGCTTCTGGAAGAAAGAGTTCATCATAAAGAGTCCCTCTTTCTCCATGAAGTCGGCCAACTGCTGGCCCCTTGGGTTCCGTTGCCCTATTCCAAATTTCCCCACTTTCAGCTCACCGTTCTCTCTTGTGCCTAGTTTTGCATTGAAGTCTCCCATTAACACCGTATATTGGGTTTTGGAGGAATGCATGGCTCTTGAGATATCCTCATACGTTTCCTCCACCTCCTGATCGGGGTGTGCCGAGGTTGGTGCGTAAACCTGTATGACCTTCAGCGAATACCGTTTGGTGATTCTGAATATAAGGTACGCAACCCTCGTCGACACACTCACAATCTTTACAACGTTGTTAACGAGAGACTTGTGGACGATAAATCCGACACCTCCTTGGGACAGATGGTCGCCCTCCCGGTAATAGAGCAAGTTGCCGGATTCGAGGATTACCGTGTCCTCCCCCTCTCTTCGGACTTCGGATAATCCTATAATATGCCAGCGTAACTTGTCTATCTCTTCTTCCAGCTCCACAATCTTCTCGTCAGTCCTCAGGGTGCGTGCGTTGTATGTTGCCAGGTCGAGTCGTTGTAGGTGGCAACCGAACCTCCACCGGAGATTCTTAGCACCCCCTGCCCCGCCGTTACCATGGTCGCCACCGTAGCCAGGAATAGCGGGGCCGCCGGGGACTGGGGGCCGTCTCTTCGTAACTTTCATTATGGGGGGTATATTGCCATAGTTGCCACGCTTGGCGAGCGGGTTGGCAACCGTAGTTTTTTATTGTATTTTTGCAGTTACCAGGAAGGTGCTGCTGCCCATCTCCTGCCTGTTTCCCTTTGTCGCCTTTTACGACACCCACGGGAAGATATGGGGTAGTGGATATTCTTAACCGCCACTACACGGCACTGTCCCGGTCTAAATATCCTTAATTACAGGCTATGAGGCGTTCCATCTAAGTCCTCAGAGGTGACAAAGCATATTAAGCCTTCATTGTTTGAAGTTGGCTACAGATGTCCACGGGCTACAGTAGCCACTTACCATCAGGTGGACTGTATATCGTATATCACTTAAGTTTTCTAAAATAAAATTAGTCAGATGAACATTATATCATAATTAATATAAAATTCATAAAATTTCTCCAATATTACACAGTGGATGTCGTAAGAGGCACCAAAGGGAAATGAAAAAGGAGTTGGGCAGCAGCATCTCTCTGATAACTCAAAATTTTAAAAAAAAACTGCGGTTGCTAACTCACCTTGCCAATCATAACGATGTCATGTATACAGTCTATGAGGTAATCTATGTGCCTAAGTTTAGCAGTACAACTATAGAAAGTAGGGACAGGCAAGTGAAAAAATTATATTTATATTTATCGCATCGATATTTTTAAACGGTATCGATAATTATCGCGTGATAAATATCGATATATCATAATGTTTTACGTGATGTGGTAGGATAAGGACCATAATTTTATTGCTGGATGTTTTGACGACGGAAACAAAAGCAGCACATCAATGCTTTTGCTTGTTTCTTAATGACTTGTCTATTAAATTATAAAATAAATATAACATTCTAAAATACATCGAAATTGATACGAATTCAATAATCGCGATTAAAAATATCTGAGATAAATAACGATAATTTTCTGCCGACTTCTAAAAAGGAGACGGTACTTAATTCGACTGTATGTTTTTTTTTATGTGTGTTACCTCGTAACTCTTTACTGGGTGAACCGATTTCGATGTTTCTTTTTTTATTTGAAAGCTTGTACTTCTCGTGTGGTCCCATATGAATTTGATCAAGGTCAGACCAATAGTTTTTGAGTTATTCTTAATAACTTATATTGAAGTCGGCAGTACAACATTTTTAATTTTTAATTATGTGCGAAAATATCGATATTTCGATAGATATACCTCCTATGATGCAGTCTACGGGGCCTATGTTCAGCAGTGAACTTTTAATAGGCTGTAAACAATGAATGAGTGAATGATGAATAAAATACCTGTGCTATAAACGGCATCAAGTTGTTGGGTATTCCCGAGGGATCTTCCCCAATGCGCCCGCTATGATGTGCCCCCACAGGGTTGAAATATCGAAGAGATATCACCATCCATTTCTGTGCACAAAAATTTTATTTATCAACCAAAATAGATTTATTTAAATACGAGCTTCATTGTCGGGATATAAAAAAACCAGTATCGAAATGTTAATAACTTCCATAAATAAACATTGCACAAATATGACTTAAAGTTTGCCATTAGTTACATTCTATACAGGTTTCCTCACCATTTTCCTTCACCCTCAAAATGCTTGTGAAAAACATTTAAAATTGGGATGAACAAATTTTTGAATTATGAAATTTAAGGTTACCACGGTTTGCAGGATCGACATGTACCTAATTAATATGATATTGGCTTCACAATATCAAAACCGAGTAAAAGACTATAACTTAGTTTTACAGAAGAGCATAAATCATATATCGAGGCAATGTGTCATAAAGCAAATTAATGCAAAGCTTTAGTTATACATTATATTAAATTAAAAAATGTAAGATATTAAAACTTTTGTTTTCTATCATTCTGTAAAAGAATTGCCTATGTAATATTTAGAATTAAAAAAAATATTTATTATCACTTACTGCGTTTTGATATGGAAGAGTCACAACGAGTTAACATAATTAAATAAAAATCTCGAGCATAGCGAAATTTTCATACCTTATCGCTCCTGCATATATCCTTCATGATCTCTTCGCAGAAGTACTTGGACTTGCCGTAGGGACTGGTTAGGCCCTGACCTGTAGGATGGCTCTCGTTGAGGGGTAACTTCTCCGGTTCGCCGTAAACAGTGCATGAGGAGCTATATACTAGTTTGTATACGCCGTATTTCCGCATAACCTTTAAAAAGTAATAGTAAAGTTATAACCTATATTACGTCCCACTGCTAGTCACCTCCTCTCACTTCTGAGAGGGTTTAGGGCAAGGAAGTGTCTGCTACGCACATAATCTTTAATTAAAATTAAATATATATATACAATAAATAAGAGATAAACAATCCAAGAACAGCAGTGTCTTTCTATGAACAACAAAAAAGCGGATAGATTATTTTTAATAAGTTCAACTTTTAGTTAGCTGTAACGGTAAGGGAGATAAGGACACGGACGCAATATTACGTATTTATGAGGAATTCAACATAGCCAGGATCGATTAAAATTAATATAATATAATAGATTGTCATTTCTTAAGTCAAAGATGGAATGTCTTGTTACCAGTAGTAAGGGTCTCCGGTTCTCTACACTCATCCTACGAAATACAGCAGGGTTAAGCTGCTATTTTAAGCTGGTATTCTGTGAGAGCGTGGTCCTTCCCTGGTCGAGCCGACCCATCCGTGCTACAACTATACTACTAATATAGCTGCAGCATGGCTCTACCACAAACATACAATGTTCGCTTTGCTTATGATATTTTGTTACACCTTTTCAAATATTTTCCCATTAATAAAAAAAATCCCATTATCGAATAATATAACGGTAAAACGATATACCGTTATTAGTTAGTTTTCGCTATTGATACTGTGCATGTTGACGGTACGGGCTCGATGAGCCACCATTTCGAATCTCATTCTAAAAAAAATTATCCGTAATCTGTATTTAAATATTTATTAGACTCACGTCAAAAAGCGTGCAGGTCCCGGTTATGTTCGCCTGGTAGTATTCGAGTGGCTTCTGTACAGACTCGCCTACCGCCTTCAGCGCCGCGAAGTGTATGACGCAGTCTATGTTGTGCTGAAATTGAAATATCAATGTCTGAATGTTAAGAAAATTTAACTTGCATATATGTAATATATACTTACGAGTAAGAAACGAACTAGCAGTCCTAATGATTAGGAGCTACTGCAGCCCATGAATCTTTTCACACATAGAAACAAAACAAAAGTGGATAGACTTTGTAAATTCTTTATCACTGGATTTTTAGAATGATGCTCTTCTCATCAGGCCCTTACGCAATGTCCATAACTGTCTATAATAAGCTACCAAACTCATTAAAAAACGTAACAAATGATAATATTTTTATTACGTGGTAGAGCCATGCTGCAGATAGCTGCAGGGAATTGCAGATGCGTTGCCGGCCTTTTAAAAAGGGGTAGGCTCTTTTCTTGAAGGTCCCTAAGTAGTATCGGTAGTAGTATTTTTAGTCCATAATTATTCAAATTATTCATTCATTTATAAATAAATAAATAATGTAATACTATAGTATTGCATTTGTCATTCAGGTATTCATATAAAGTATAAAAACATTTATTGATTAGAAACACTTTTCATTGTTTCTTTTTTATAGTATAGGGTGACAAACGAGCACACAGTCCACCTGATGGTAAGTGGTTGCTGTAGCCCATAGACATCTACATCTATCCTCAATAAAGACTCAAGATGCGATAACGTTTTTAAAAAAAAAAAGATGCAGATGCGTTGTCAGCCGTGAGCACTAAGATGGAATGCCTCTTTGCCAGTAAAAAGGGTCTCCGGTTCTCTACACTTACCATACGAAACACAGCAGCGTTAAGCTGCTATTTTACGCTGGTTTTCTGTGAGCGTGGTCCTTCCCCGGACGATCCGACCCATTCGTACTACAACTATACTACTAATATTAAAAGTGTTTCTAATCAATAAATGTTTTTATACTTTATATGAATACCTGAATGACAAATGCAATACTATAGTATTACATTATTTATTTATTTATAAATGAATGAATAATATGAATAATTATGGACTAAAAATACTACTACCGATACTACTTAGGGACCTTCAAGAAAAGAGCCTACCCCTTTTTAGAAGGCCGGCAACGCATCTGCAATTCCCCTGGTTCCCCTGGTGTTGCAGTTGTTCATGGGCGGCGGTAGTCACTTACCATCAGATGAGCCGCATGCTCGTTTGCCCACTCTCATATAAAAAAATAAATAAATGATATAATAATAATGAATTATAAAACATCTTTGCGTCCTCCTCTGTTCTAATTTTCTAACTTGCTATAACGAACAGGCTCCATATTGTGATAATTTAATTTAATAATTTGTAGATACATTATGGAATGCAAATAAATATTGAGTATTGGGTATTGATTTTGAAGCTATTAATGTTATTGTCAGTTGTCACCTGCCTGTATTGCGCATGCTTGTATTGACTAATCCTAATATCATCTTGTAAATTATTTTGATAGAGTTATAAAGAACATAAACAACACGCATTGATCACGACCCTCTTTTTATAAAATAATGGTGACAAACGAGCACACAGTCCACCTGATGGTAAGTGGTTGCTGTGGCCCATAGAAATCTACATCTATACTTGTTTGCGAATCAAATAGTAGATGCGTTGTCAGCCGTGAGGACTAAGATAGAATGCCTCGTATCCAGTAAAAAGGGTCTCCGGTTCTCTACACTCACCATACGAAACACAGCAGTGTTAAGCTGCTATTTTACGCTGGTATTTTGTGAGAGCGCGGTCTCACCCCGGTCGAGGCGACCAATTCGTGCTACAACTATACTACTGATATAGCTACAGCATGGCTCTACCACGTATAATCCTAAAGGAATCGCAGGGATTTTCATAGGACTTTTTACTGGAAACGAGGCATTCCATCTCATTCCTCAGGGGTGACAACGCATCTAAAATTTGATTCTTAATTGAGGATAAATGTAGATGTCTATGTGAGCCACCTGCTTCCATTGACTTCCTGCATGTCTTACCTGGTCGTCACTTCAGCTAGTGGGGGGACGCCCTGCACTTCGTCCGCCACTCGAGAACCTTTTTTCACCACTTTTTCTTACGCCTTTACTACACGAAAAATAAATAATTTACATCTAAACTACTCACATTCTCGAAAACCCTGCTCAAACCCGTCGCGTCTCTAATATCTACTTCATAGAAATGTATCGTTTTGTCGGTCATTTCCTCAATGATCCTCAGACACTCGGGCTTTTTTCGTCCTTCAGCTCGGTACGCATTGCTCAGGTTGTCCACGACCACGATATCATAGTCAGTGGCGTCTTGTCGCTCCAGGAGTGATGCGACTGTATGTGAGCCAACGTAGCCAGCGCCGCCCGTCACAAGGATTGCAGGTTTCATGGTAGTGCTGGAAATATTTGTGTAACATAAATATTGGTAAGTATACAATAACAAATATAATGGAAATAGTTATGGTAATATAGAATTGCCAAACCGCTTGCCAAGCGTGGCAACTATGTCAGATATCCCCCTTATGAGACAAATCTATAGGGGAGGCTTATGTTCGTTAATGGACTTTATTAGACAGTAACGGTAATATAGAATGTGTTGATCGGTACCGAACTATTTCTGTTGTGTAACATAAATGATTAATTTACCAGTAGTAAATTAAACATAAGAGTGTCTTTCAATAAGTATTATTTATAACCTATATTGAATAAAGCCTCTATTTCTATGAACATCATAGTAGCAAGGAAGGTGGGGGAACAGGTATCAGAAAATTTTATTTTAAAGTTGTCGTCGCTGCTTGTGATAAGAGGCTGGTTCTTTTCTCGCTCAAATGCTAAGTATAGCCATTCAGCGGGGAAACGCAGCCAGCGTTCTTGGCACGATACCGCCGGGAGTGTGTGTATATTTTATTTTAAAGTTGTAACTTTTATTTATAAAGCTGAAGTGACAAACGACCTTACTGTCCAGCAGATAGTAAGTGGCTCCTGTAGCCCACGGACACCTGCAATTAGGGTTACCAGATGAAAGAATTAAAAGTCCGGAGAAGAGGCCTGATTTCCATTTAAAAATCCTGAGATTTTTTTACAGTTTGAGAAGAAAACCTTACTTAAAAAGGTATCTTCACATATTAAGTATGATAAAACTGTTTAAATACCTACTTGGATAAATAAATTTTGATTTTAATTGTGGAATTATTACCAAAGGAAAATTATTTTTAGTTTGTTTAACTTTTTATTAAAGAGATCTTTAAAATGTAAGCTGTATTATATTGAAAGTTCTAAAAATCCTGAGATTTCATGAGATTTGCAAAATTCAGCCGCAATCCTGAGAATAGTCTAAAAATCCTGAAATCTCAGGACAAATCCTGAGATATGGTAACTCTAGCTGCAGTGAACCTCAAACAAAGGCTACACAAATGCGTTGTATCCTCTGAGGACTAAGATGGAACGTCTCACACCCTGTAATTGTATCTACTGAATCTCTATACTCTACAGACGGAACACAACAGTGCAAGCACTACTATTTGGTGGAAGAAACAGGTAAGTAGTTGGTACCAATCCAGACGGACGCCTACGCAGATAGGGAACTCTACCGCCCAGTAAAAAGTAATATGCGCGCGAGATAAAAATGTGATAAAAGTAAAGTAACAGTCTACGAGTATATGCCTCCCACTGGTGGGCACAGGCCTCCTCTCATTTCTGAGAGGGTTTTAGGGCAAGGAATTGTCCGCCGTGCTGCCCCAATGCGTGTTGGCGAACTTCAAATGTGTTCGAATTTTTTTTTTCTTATTTCTTAGACATTCAAGTTTTCTCACGATGTTTTCCTTCACCGCCGAGTACGTGGTAACACTTAAAATTGCAATTAACAATTTCGTTGGTGCCGGCGGGGATCGAATGATACCCTGGTTGCTCGCGTACTGTTAAATTTACAGCCGGCACTTTGGCACTGAGCTATCACGGTTTTTAAAAATGAGATATTTGATGTAAAAGCATAATTAAAAAGGTACTAATTAAAGAAATATAATCCAAGTCAAAGTAGGGATCGAGAATACGTTAAAATGCTATTTTTATACCCTTAAAATATTTACAGGTTTACACATATCTTTGTGTTATTTTTTTATCAATATAAGATCTAGAATATTCTTTTATTTCTGTTAGTAATGTGTCGTAACACGTTATCAATACACTTCTTATGAATGGTTGACTTACATAGAGTTTAAAGAAAAACAATGTCAAAGACATTGTTCAGATAAAACAATACAATCATAAATACACATATGTGATTTTATGCCTGTATAGATTTACCTAAATGTAAATGTCTTGTTTAAAAAGTAAATGTGTAGTAGGTATTTATCATTATCGCTGTGTTGTTAACTCCATTTTATGTTATTTTAAATGCTATAACATTTCACAATGCATGAGGTTCCTAGGAAAAAACACAAAACGCATGAGTATGCCCTTTGTAAAACTTTGATTAAAGTGCAAGTAAATATATTATGTGAAATATCACTGACCGACAGACTGACTCATCACGATATCTCTAAAACTATACACCTAAACTTGAAATTTAGTATAGTTACTAGGGCATCGAGAACCGGTCCTTTTCCAAAAACCGTTTCTTTAGGTTCCAAACTTTTGCCGGATCCGGGTACCCGGTTCTTTTCTTTCTTTTAGGTTACAGGCTACTTTCGTTCAATGTGAATAACAATGTTATAATCATATTTATTGGGAAGGCACCACCCTCTTACGAATTTGTGCCAACAAAATAGCAGTGCCTGCACTGCTGTGTTCCTAAGTCTTTGTTTGAAGTTCGCTGAAGGTAGGTGTTCATGGGCTGCAGTAGCCACTTACCATCAGGTGAACTTCAAGGTTCTAACAGTGGTAGAGCCACGCGGCAGCTTTTGCTGTCGCACGGATGGGCCGGCTCGAACCGGGGTGGTACCACGACCTGACAGAAAATCAGCGTGAAGTAGAGGTTTACCTCTGCGTTTCGCTTGGTGAGTGCAGGTGGCCGGAGGCCCTTTTTACTGGAAAGGAGGCATTTCATCTTAGTCCTCACGGGTGACAACGCATCTACATTTTGATTTGTAATAGAGGATAGATGTAGATGTCTATGGGCCGCAGCAACCACTTACCATCAGGTGGACTGTGTGCTCGTTTGTCACCCTTATCGTATAAAAAAAAACTGTAAGTTCGGTTGTTATTTAATTTTTTTAAAAAGCAACAAAAGCGTTATGACCTTATCTAGTACTAGCTGTTCCCGCGACTTCGCCCGCGTGTTAATTGGGGTTAAAATCTTTTGCGCGGAACCCTAATTATTTTTCTAATAAAAGTAGCCTAAGTTACTCCTTGTGACATCAGCTATCTGACAGTGAAAATCCCGTCAAAATCGGTCCAGCCGTTTCGGAGATGAGCCGGAACAAACAGATAGATAGACAGACGGACAGACAGACAGACAAAAACTTTAAAAATTGATGTTATTAGTACCGTATATACTTTCATATATATTTAGTAAAAAGCTCTAATTTTGACATTACAAACAGACACTTCAATTTTATTTATTTGTATAGATTTTCTTCGATACGATATTCTTCTGATAGATTTTGTACAATTGGAGACAACTTCATAGGATATAATATAGTGCGAATGTCAGTTAGTAAGAATTCGCGCGCATGAAGGCTAAAGTGATCGGCCGGTTAAACGATCGGCCACTCTATAAAAATAATTTACAAGATGATATTAGAACGATTCAGTTTTTTTATATACTTACAAGCATACGCAATACAGATAGGTGACAACTGACTATACCGTTAATGGTTTCGAAATGACGTTAAGTTGATGAAAATCCAGTGATAAGCAATTTACAAAGACTATCCATTAGGGGAGAAGATTGCTAATACTATTAACGAGTAATTGCACTAAAAAGATACATATAGACATTGTAAGTAAATGAAATTATTAGTATATTTATTTTTAAGCTGTCCTTCGTTATAAAATTGAACTTAATCCAATTTTTGTGTACTCTTATCTTATATCTGTTAAATTGCGGCATTTTCGTGTTATTGCTTAAAATTTATAAAATTAATAACACTTACATGAAACCCTATTTACTTAATACTTAATTTAAAGAAATTAATGGTTTATAATCAAAAACCACGTCTCGCTCTAAAACTTTTTTACTGGTAGTTATGAAGCTTTCCCCTTTAGTATACTCAGTGTAAAAACGCATCTAAATTTTGATTTATAATCAATGATAGATAGGTATAGGTCAGGGCTCGCGAGCCACATGCGGCTCTTTGGATGTGAAGCTGCGGCTCTTTAGTTTCATACGCAAATATTATTTATTTTATAAAAAAAAAAAACATTTAAAAATTGATCAACACTGAGCCATTTGGAGTTGATACTGGATCTCTAGAAATGCAATTGATCGATTTAAAAAGTAAAGCTTTGTGGAGTTAAAAATCGACAGAGTTGAAAATCAATTTGAAAGGGTTGGAGATCCAGAAATGAATGTACGTAACGCAACAAAAATGAACAGCTTTAAAAGAAATGGAGTTGAGGCACTTATATTCAACGCATGGAATAATCTTCCGGATTTGCTACAGTGCAGTGTGGTGAAGAAGTTGGCATTTTGAGTGCTGACTATCTCCGGATCGACATATTCGTGCGAGTAAGCGTTCTCTTGCATGAATATAATTATAAGTAAAGTAACAAGCCAACTAACAAATGAAAATTCAGAGTGGTGTTTGAAACTTAAAACAACAAGTTATGAACCAAATTTATCAATATATAAAATTTTTATATTTATGTTTATTATTCATATATATATATATATGAATGACTAGCTCGTGGAAACTGTCCATGCGGTCGGAGCTAAGTTCTGCAAGACCCACCGCAGAAGAACACAAAAACAAACAAAGTAAAAAAATATATAAATTTATTTCTATGCACAAATGTTGGCCTTCCCCTAAGTTTCGAGGCCATTACTGGCGTCTTAGTTGCAAGTAATCTGACTCTTATGGTCGTTTACTTCGAGACCATTGTTAACTTTAAGACCATTGTATTTTATTTAGCAGTTACAAAGAAACATTATAAATACTAATATTTGTTACAATGTTATCCAGGCCAAGTCAACTATTAAATTGTTACCAGAGCTCATTCAAACATAGAATAAGATAGAATAGAATAATAATTTCTCCTCTCCTCCTGTCTTTAAAACCCGACGAAACGACGCCATAAACTAGAAGAGTTTGGAATTTTTTTTTTTTATGTTAAATATTCGGTTGGTTAGAAAAATCTCATGTTGTGTTGAATTTCATCCCTGTAAGTCCGACAAAATTTGATTTGCTAATTGAATACACTATTTAGAGAAAATTTGAACTAAAAAGACCGATTTTCA